GGTTGCAGTAAATATTTGTACTCAATGCTTCACGCATATCTGATATTCGTTCTGAATCTACTTTGGGGTTCTCGCGGCAGTAAACCCATTAGGTTCTACTGCACTGGGAGTATGAGCACGTTCCGCTAGAGTTTTCCAGATGTTTTATGACACTAGTACAAATAATTATGAGCAGGAAAGTTTTGAAGTCTTAAATACAATTTTCATGACATTACTTGTCAGATATTTTATTGCCTTACTAAACGGAGTCTCTTATTCTCAAACATACTTAATTAATTTATTATTTCTGTAATTTTTGCACCAATTCTTTTTTTTCAAATTCAATATATTACTTTATATTATATTATATCTTCACATTACAATTGTTTCATATTGTGATTTCAAAGGATAAATTAGTTTTTGATTATTAATATTCATGATGTACAAAAAATAATGTTCAATTTTTATTGGCTGTACATAATATTTAATTTGTTATATATATTGATGTACTAGCAGCCATAAGGAAGGATATGTTTAAATTAAGAAATTAAAGTAATAATGGATTATAGAATGTATTTATTAATTTTAACATACAATTTTTATAGAATTTTTATAGACAAACGCATTTATAGGACTTGGATATCTTAATTTTTTTTCTTGGTATTCAGAAATTTTTTATTACATATTGGTATAAAATTAAACTGTAAATATGGAGCATCTATCCTTAAATAGTAGTTTACAAAGATAGAAACTTATTTAATTAAATTTGGAAATATGATTATCTAAATTAATTATTATTTGGTTGTCCAAATTTAAAAAGTTTAAAATTTAAATAAATCATAAACCTGTTATTTAGTAGTAACACAATTAAATTTGCGTATCATGCTGGTTAAATTGTTATTTTTTTTACAAATTTTAACATTAAAATATAATAATAATAAATTAATTGGTATATTTGTTACGAATGTTACAGATATCTGAATGATTGTTAATTTATTCAGTAAAGTAAGATAATGAATATATTAAAGTAAATTACCTTTTACCTAAATAAATTCTGAGATTGTTTTGTATAATATAGAAATATTTCTTTTATAAATTCTTAATAGGGAACGATAGGTCCTTAATATTCTTTCTAATATGTTAGTTGCCTTTCTTAATGATGATGCACATGAATTACAAAAGTGCGTACACTCTTCTTAGAGAAATTTTTTATTTTTTTGAAGTGAATAGCAACATTTGAATTATTTTTATTGTTCAAAATTTTTACTTGAAATATTACAACTGCGAAGTACTAACTACTAAAAAATCAAGTCTTAAAAAAAAGTTGAATTGTAATAAAAAAATTGTTTTTGAACTATATTTTGACAAGTGATATTTAGTAAATTGATACTTTTTTTAATTTATTTTACATTTATATTTCAATAAAGATATATTTCACGTTTTTTCACCTTTATTAGTTACAAAATTTAATATAATGATTTAAGATTCCCGCATATGTTGTATAAATATTTGCGATGAGTATGAAAAAAATACAATCCTTTTATTTATCAAATAAATTATTTGTACGTATACAAATATGTAAATACATATTTAAATTGAAACATAAATAAAGTTGCAACACTACTAAATAAGATAACAACAAAATTAACAAATATGATGAAAGAACATAAAATTAAAAATAATTAGAAAAACCTTTTTTAAAATAATAGATGGCCGATGTTAAAAATTAAATATCTAAATGATCTGATAATGGATAATTATTTAATTATAATTAAAGGTGTATAAAGTTGGATAATTTATTCAATAATAATATTCTCAGCACTGCAGTTAAGGCTATGGGTTTCTAAAATATAGTTGATATCGTTTCACAAAAATTTAATTATGAAAAAAAATTTTGTATATAAATGTATACTACTTTTAGAATAATATTAATTTAGATATTTTCTAATTTTTTTATTATATCTTAAATTAATATTTGATATTACTGGAATGTCTTTTATAATACAATATGTCTTTTTTTATCTCGTTTATAAAATTTAGTTTAAAACATATAAATAGTATAATATTTAAAGTTTTTTTAAATATTACCATTTTTACAAATTATTAATTTGTAATTTACTGTAATTTACAAACTGTAATTTACAAATTACAGTTATTATGCTTTAACTCGTCTCGAATTTTTGAATTTTATTTTATTATATGTGTTTATTATATATATATATATATACTATATATTTTAATACATTCTTATGCTTATATCACTTACAAATTTTAATTTTATATGTTGGTAAAATAATAAAATTATAAGATATAATAAATGGATTTATATAATATACTGCCACAGACTGTAGGTTAGTTTCTATCAATACATTACAAATATTAATATCATTTAAGGCATCACGTTAAGTTAATGAATAAATCGATGGGAAGAAAATCGAAGTAAAAACCTTAAATTGACATAATGTAAAGTAAAGAAGGAAAATAGTCACTTAGAACTAGTTTTTATATAAATAATTATTAAATTAAATTACACTGTTTAAGATAAACATCAAAATTAGAAATGACTGATGAAAATTCAAGGTTTTCTTTTTATAAGTTAAACAAAACTAATAGATTCGAAATTAGCATATATTTCTAAATAGATGGATATTTCGATTTAATATATAAAGATTAGTAATTCTATAATCATTCTCTAATCAGTTTCATTTTTAGAGATTCAAATTTTTTAATTTTTAAACTTTAGCTTTTATTATTTCAACATAATTCATATTATTGAAAATAGTTAATACTCAAATATTTTCTATTATTAGAAAATAATTATAACACATGTTTTAAATAGTATTTTAAAAAATTGCATTAAATGGTCAGAAGATAGATTATTAAAGAAAAAAAAATAATAAAGAAATCTTTCAACTTTTCCGCTATATCTTTACAGGTTGGTTCTATAATTAGACATACTTTTCTCACTTTAACTCTGAAAACGGCATATAATAAATTGAATAATAGTTACCTATCACCTCTGAATCTCTACTACTTGATTTGGAGTGAATGTTATTTCTCGATATTATAATATATTTTTTAATTTTTTTTTAATTAAGGATTTCTTAAAGTAAATTATACTTAATTTTTTTTTAATTGAATGAAAACATTTCATTAAAAGTATTTAAATAATATATAGAATTATTAAAATGAAAATTTATAAATATCTTATGAAAACTTGAAATTATGCTATTAAACAAATAAAAATAATAGCATTTCATTATATTTAATGTTATATAATAATCACTGTATAATGCATACATTCATATATCCTTAATTTATTAAATAATTATATTAAAAATTAATTTATAATGTTAAAACTTATTTATTTCATAAATTTTATTAATGTGAAAAATGATACTGTATCTTACCCTGTTATTTTCAATTGAACATCTATTGCTTTTTATAACCTATAATATATTAAAAAGATACATCGTAATTCAAAAACATTTTATTTCTATTAAATTATATAATATTATACATTAAAAATATGTGAAATAAAATAAATTCTCTTTCATAAATTAAATATTTGTCAATTTAAGTAGATATTAATTTCATTCATACAATGTCACATTGATGACATATAAGGCCAATTAAAGCTACTACCGCTGAGAAGCATATCTCGTATGAGTGTTTCAATAGGTGTTTTACCAACAAGACGTACAAAGAAAAGTTGTTCAATTACTTGTGAAGAAACTGTTCTTAATGATGGCAATCGTAATAAAAGCTTTCCAAATCTAGTAGGTTGATTTGGATACTGCGTTCGACAATATTCTTCTAATGCACATTGAGATTTTTCTTGAAGGGATTCTATGTGAGCAACATCAGACAAACCACAAGCATCTGAAACAATAAACCATACCAATAAAATTCTTACATATTACAACAATTTTGTATTCATAAAAAATAGTTTATTCCATATCTACATTTTATTATATTTAAAATATTTAATGAAATATTTTGTCACTAGTGAACAATGTTTACCTAAAATGTATATGTAAAAGCAATAAAGTTATGTACATGTTTATAAAATTTCATACTATTTTCAATATATATTCATACATAATTATAATAATAAATAATTGTTTTTATTATTTTTTAAATATAGTATTAAAATTAAATCTATTAAAAAAACAAAGAAGCATATCTATAAACTTTTGTATAACTCTTTTTAATGATAAAGCATTTAAAAATATTAGTAGAATATTTATTTCAACAATCAATATAACAAAATAATTATTATATGATAAAATATCTTGAAACAAATATTGTTCCTGCAGAAAGAATTAAAAATAGTTCCTGATAATTTGTTCCCACTCATAATAACATATTTTATTCAGTACAAAAAGGAAATTCAGGAACTTTATTTATAACAATATCAAATTTGTGAATTAAAATTAAATGTTGATTCGTAGTACAATATACGGGATAAAAAAATTAATTACCAATGTAAATTGTAATATCTCATAAGAATATTTAACTTCAAGAAAGTGTGTATCTTATTTAAAAAGTGAATTCAATCATTTTGTCGTCAATTATATGAAGTAGCGTGTGTACAAATTTATCTTCTATGGTTTTAGAAGTTTTAGGTTTTAGGATGTAGTATATTAATATTCATTATAAAATATATTAAAGTGATATGTAATATCAAATGCTGTATCATTTATTTATCATATGCTTATTTAATAATTATATCAAATTATTTTTTTTGTTAGTATTTTTACTATATTAATAAGAAATTTGCTATTTTTATTAAAAATATTTTTTTTTAATAAATTCAATACTTGTAAAACACAAATATAAATGAATCCATTCAATTTCTTAAAATATATTTAGAGACCCAAAAATTAAAAATTGATATTAATTTAGTAAAAAGAATAACAGAATAAGTTGATGTAATATTATGTAATATTAAGTAATATTTATGTAATATTATCTCTAAATTACTATTAGAAAGAAATAATGATAGAATATACTGGAATACTATTAAGCAAAGACTTACAGAACATTAAATTGTTAATTAAATTAGATAGTTGTATATGGATGAGATAACAATTATTTGTAATGTTCATCATACAAATTAATGATTATTAACGAATCAAATACATATTTTGATTAATACATATTTTTCTGATAACTATGAAAAATACTGTATATAATATTTTGTAATAAAAATTTATAATGTAGAAATTAGAAATTTTAACATCCTTGATACCTGGACGTTAATTTAGAATTATTATATTTGAAAATTATAATTTTTAAATCAAGACAAATACACTATCTTTCATTGAATTAATATTTTATAAAGCAACATTTTTCGAAAACTCAAATTGACAACCTGTAAATAGCAAGATTTTTAAATTTTGAAATATAGACAAATTTTAAACATAGATTGGGTTAAAACAGACATTAAATATTGAATATAAATTACAAATAAGGCATTGCAATTTAAAGAAATTACGGTTGTGCCTATTTGTCAATCTTATGCTAATCTTTAAATACTAGAAAATACATAATTAAATTCAATTAAAAATAATTAATTATATATTTTTAATACAATTGCATTATCGTGTAATTTTTTGAATAATTAATTCTATAAGATTGAACCGTCTATACATTGATTGAACAAAGCTGTATATTTTATTATAATTTTAGTATAAATTTATTATAATTTATTATTAATAGAATTTATGAACTGAACAAGTATAAACATGGATGAAATTTACATATCAATTAAAAATAATTAAGATAAAATTAATGAACTAAGCAAGTATAATAATAAGTTCTAAATAAAATTCATGAAATGAACATTGATAAATAATCATTGTATTACAGTTTATTTGATTTAATTTTTCAGCAAACTTATAGAAATATACAATAATTAATTATGAACAATTTTTTCTAATTATGAATATAAATGTCATTTTTTAATTATGCTATTATTAGAATAATAATATAATTATAATTATTTATTCATGTCTGTTTAACTGAGTAAATTTAGTTTTATGAGTTTGATCAAATTTATAGTTGTTAATGCATGATCGTAATTCGTCATAATTACCTTATAATATATATTTAAGTTATATTTATGTTTATTTCAAATTAATAAATTGAATATTAAATTATGAAATTTATGTTGTTGTATTACACACGTCAACAAATTACTATTTATTTTGATGTCTTTTGGTATGAGCATTTCACTTATTGAAACGACGTATCTATTTAAAAAGATGTAAATCTGTATACATTAATTATTTGTATTTGATATGTAATGGTTATTCATTTCATATTATTTATATTTTGTTTTATCAAGTTCAATTATTATTATAATCAAATAATGCATACCTTATATTGAATATGTTTTCGAAAAATGTATACTCAAGTATTCGAAAAATTGTACAAATTCAAATATTATTTTTTAGGGAACTATACAAGACAATTTCAATAGTTATAATTAATTTAATATTAAAATTATTAAAATTAGAATATTTATATTTATAATTTATAAAATTGTCTCTTTAGATTATTTGCTAGTTTTGTATATTATATTATGTTTAAATAAATAAAAACAATCATTAATTCAATCATTAATTTTCATAACCTTTGGAGATATCCTACAATAAAAATATCAATTATAAATTTAGTTTTTAATGATTTTAGTTTCAAAATTTATATCATATTTGATCAAAATAATTTTTTCTTTAATTTAAACAGTTATATATTTCAACAACTGCAAGAATTGTTATTGTAAAAAGCTAATTTAAATATTTGATTCATATGTATAAGCATCTTACATATCAAAAGAATTATTTACTAAGCTGATAGGATAAATTCAAATGGAATTTATTCATAAGGTACTATTTTTATGTTGCTGATATGTTCAGCTTTTACATTAAAATAGACTCTTGTGTAAGTGTATAAGTCGGCGCAGGATTGATAAGATTCCAAAGATCAAAAATATTTAGAAGATTAAATATTATACAGGCTACTAGTATTATTGAAAAATTAAATATTATAATTCATTACCTTCGTAATAATATAAACTGAATTTTAATTTGTTGAAGTTAATATTTATTTCTATTTTAATAACTTCTAAAATATATACAATATTATATAATATTTATTAGTGTTATATATGATTGACTGATATTTAATATGCTACATAAATGTAAATAAACATATATTTTATTACTTTTTATAGATTTGTAACAGTATAGTATAATAGAATTTTACTATAGATAAAACAAAATATGCCATAACGATATTATTATGTAGTATTATTCTATTGTAGTATGATTATTAATTTAAAAGGATTGATTATTAAAAGGAAATGTAAATAAATTCATATCATTTTACAGAAGTTTAAATGAAACCTAATCAAAAAGTTTATTTTTTTAATGAATGCTAATTTTTTTAAATTAACAAAATATCAATGCTTTAAATTTATTATTTAATTTTTAATTTAATGTGTAAAAATTAATTAAACATAAATAACAAAATCTAAAATTCTACAAAATTATTATTTATAATAGTAACGAAATTCAAACATAATATATACATTTATAATAAAAATTAAAATATTATAAAAAAATATTTTACTAATTACCACTTTAGGTCATTATATGAAAGAAGTATTTTTAAATACTTTCATGAATGAACTTTTATTCAATTAACTATTATTTTTACTATTTCTTTTTCATACTTGACTATATAATTATGAACTATAAACAATTAAGACTTTATTTTTAAATGTTAAATAATGTAAATCTGGTTTTAGACGAAAATTAATTTTCTAATATAATTTATTTTTATTAAACCAATAAAATTTTATATAAAGAAATTTACTATATTGATTTTCCATTACATTGTAGAAATTATGCAATCAATAAAAGTAAATTTGATACAAAGAACATCTTTTGATAGATGTAATGATAGTATGATAATATTATGACCATAGTTATTTTGTATTTATATAACCCAATTAGAAATTGAACCCAAAAGATATAACCCAAAAGATATTGAAATATATTTTTATATTATATTTATTTTACTTTAGCATAAGAAAAATTCTGCGCAATTTGTTAAAGAAATTACTCTTTCATCACAATCATATTCGAACTCATTCAACATGTTTTATAACTGTAAATTTCGTTGAAGTAGGTATCCAATATTTCCTTATTTAGTATAGTCTATTAAAATTAAGGAATTAAAAAATCTTAAAATAATGAAATTATTCATCAGGTTTTGTAATACAAAAGTATTTTTGTCAATAAATAATTCTAAAACTTTTTAAAAAATCTTATATTGTGATTATTATATAATTTTTTAAGAATAATTTATATATTATGAATTATATAATGAATTTTCATACAATATAAAATTGTATAACGTTATATTTTCATATAATAATCAGATATCTATTCTAATTTTATTAAGTAAAATGTTATTGTTTTATGAAATTATTTTTAAACAATCTTTTTGATTTCAGTTCTTTTTATGTAATTCAATTGTTGTATATTTTTAATATATTATATACCTTTATTTTTAATGTATAATTATTTTTTAAAATAATATATTGCCTAAATATAAAGAAAAGAAAATTTTTTATTATATTCCATGATTATTCAATATATTATTATATTATACAATAATAAAAGATTTATAAGTTATTTGTAAATTGCATATAATTTTACACAAAACAACTTTATATTCTTCACATTTTATGAATTCTTTAATAGCGCAACAAAATAAACTGATTGTTTTAATACATATGTTTATATAACATTTGATTTTAAAGAATGTACATCATTATAATACTTATCATTATAATCATTTTAACATCATGTCTGTTCAACTAATAAAGTTGCTTTGTACGAAACATACAAAATGTGGTGCTCTAGGTGTATATTAATTCGTAGAGCCGAATCGCCCTAGATTGTGAAATTTATACATGTGTAAAACTGTAAAATGTATAATTAATGGATAAACTCAATACTGTATATGTATTTGTTAAACAAAAAAGAAAAATCATACAGATAATCTTCTCGTTTTAACTATTCTACTTTCTTAGAGACACTTATTTGATTTTGAAATAATATATAATATTTTGTATCTGCCTGTAGACTGTGGGAGTTGAAAGATGGAAAGTTGAAAGACGAAATAATCTATTATTTCAAAAATATATAATTTCAATAACGGTTCGTTTTCTATAAAAAGTAGTATTTTCTTTATATTAATTTTTATTTATATTTAATATTACTTATTTTATTATATAGTTGATATCTTCATTACATACAATAGCGGTTTTATGTTCTTTCAGTAATAAAGTAAATGTGACTGATTCAATTTGAATATTATTGTTGATTTATTATTAAGCAATATTTTTCAATATTTCATCGACAATTTTGAATAACTTTCATCAATTTTATATTCATTTTAACGATTATTTAATTTCAAATTGTTGAGAGTATTTACTTTTTTTTTGCTTAATAAAATTAATATTTTTCCTAAACGATGGCTGTTATTACTAATTATAATAGTTGATTTACACATTTTCAATTTGTTCTCTTAATAGTTTTATAAATCAATTTAAAATAAATTAAATATGACATAAAAATGTACAGTTTAGATAAAAAAATTATATAAAATATATAATTTTATCTATTTTATCTATTCCAACATTCACCGATAATATTCAATGGAAATAACTAATTTTTATCAAGATAATTAAAATATTATTTCCATATATCTGTATATTCCATATTTCAATTATTAAACATGTTTTTCGAAATATTAAAATTAATTAAATCTTTAAGTTAGTTTAAAAAATTTAATTAATGTATATATATCAGATAATAAATAACACTGCATTTTCAGCAAAATATATTGTATAATGATGCATTTCAATTTTGCTTAATTATTTATATATACGTTGCTATATGTAGATGGCTTATCTCTTAATAAAGTTTAGTGCTTTATATATTTTTGTATAGTATTAGTAAATTTTAAGTAAAACATTAAATTATTAAATTATTGTTTTCTCGTTCAGCTGAAATGAAAAATTTGTTTAAAATGAACTATAATTCTTTACATATATTCTTATTACTATATGAAATATTACGTATTAGTTCCAAATAAAAAAGTTCTTTATTTGATTTATTACCTTACTGTCTTGTAAATACAAATACTTCTATTTACAAATTAATGAATATACAGTCTATTTTTTTTTAATATTCAGTTTAAAAATGAATTAATAGCTAGTTATGATTTTTAGATAATACTACTATATGATTTCTAGAAAAAATTTACCGTATTGAACATTTTTTAAGTTTCAATTACGATGATCATGGAATATTTCTTTTTTAAGTAATAATTTATCTGTATGCTAAGTATTTATGGTTATATACATTATCTGCATGGTTTTCTGCACTACCATTTTTAACTTTATAGAATTTTATGTAGATATTTCATCAAATAATGACGTTTTATAATACAGACTCCTTTATTTATTTACTCCTTATTCGGTTTCTTCTCCAGTTTATTTTCATGCGAGTTTCGTACATCTAGAAAGGAGAGAAAAAATTAAGCTTTAATGTGTGAATATTACTAATACAGAAAATTCATTTTTGATTTGTAATTAAAAACATGTTTCATAATTATACAGTCGAAAATATGAAATAATTAAGAAATTATAAATTTATACGATTTTTACAACAAATACTAAATTGACAATACTATTAATTAATTACTCGAGTTATTATTTTTAAATATACAAAGTTTATAATATTTGTGAAAACAAAAAATAAAAAAAGATAATTAATTTGATTTTTAATAGAAATTATATACTTAAAAAGCATATTTTTTTTAATGTAGAAATGATTTTTTAATTAGTAATGATTTTTTAATATAGCAATGCTTATTGATTTAGTAATGATGTTTTAATTTAGTAATGATTTTTTAATTTAGTAATGTTTTGTAATGATTTTACATTTAGTAATGATTTTTGAATTTTATAATCGTTTTTAATTTAGTAATCATTTTTTAATGTAGTAAGGATTTATTAATTTGCTTTTGATGTATACCATTGATTAATCATAAAATATACTTTTTAAGAAATGAAAATATGAAAACCTTAAATAATATTTGCAAACAAAATTTAAAGAGCTTTTAAAAGTTTGTGATATATATTACGTTTCATGATGTTCCAAAACAGAAATTCTACAATTAATTTTTCTATTAATGAATTTTATTTAATAAGTTTTTCTAAGTTTTTTATAAAAAATATCAGTTAATTTCTCGTTTATGATATAGTGAGCAAATGTTAAATGACGTTAATTAATCAATAACCATAATTAATTATCTGATTAAAGATTTTGCCAAATAAAATACGTGTATAAACATTAATGAATTTATTAAATTTATATGAGCTTAATATTTATATTAATTTAGTAAGCATATATTGGAAGAAGAACTTGTCTTTATCTATTATTTGTAAATATTTATAAAATGTATCTTTTAAATTAGAAATATTACAAGAGGAACTATTATCATTGATATTTGTATTTTTTAATTTTTTCACGAATTATTAGTTTATACAGAAATATAGGATATATATTTTTTTATTCATTAAATTTCTAAACTTTTTTTTGACAAAAGATTTAATTAGAATATGTTTTCGATTATTTACTATTTTTTTAATGACTATCAAATATAATATAAGCTAAAATATACTATTATCCTTTAAATAAATTTATGATTCATTAAAATACTTAGTGAAACAAGAAATATTGATTGATTGAAAAAAATTCTAACTCCTTAAAATTCTAACGATAGTGGAAAACAATAATTAATTCATTTACTTTATAATTATTATAAGGTAAAATAATAGTAAATAAATAATTCAATGACTAATCTAATATAAAAATAAAAATGTTTGTATAAATAACCACCAACAAAATATTGATAATAGTGTCGATTAATTTTTTCTTTTATTTATAATGAATTGTTTATTTTTTATTAAGCAGGATTTAAAATTAGAATTAAATTAAATACAACTCTGAACAATTGCATAAATAATATAATAAATAGCACTTGCAAAAAGTTCCCATATATACTACCATTGTTAAATATTTTCGTTTTGAAATAAATATATTATATATAATTTTTAAATAAAAATATATTTTCTTAAATACTAATATTTGATAAATAAATTATCTTATTTTTGAGACTACCGTTTATATTACAATTTTTACAATAAATAATTCGAGATTATTGATTTTTGAAATTATAATATTCTAACTACGTAATTTATAAATATATCAATAAATCTGTTTGTTGTGTGCATATATCTCAGGTAATAATTTTAAATATAGTTACTATTCATATTAATAGTTAAGGCTAGATATAACATATAGTTGTGAAACTTGTGTTAAAAATAATATGTTAATGCTTATCTGATACATTAATTTATTTGAAAATTTCAGTATATTTATTTTAAAAATACAGGTAATGAATTTGTTTGAATATCTTATTTGTAATGTTTGTAATAATAGATGTACTATGGTAAATATACTTTCAATAATTTAATATATGTAATAATTAAATAAGTTTGGGATGTTTAAGGCAATTACAATATGATTTAAATTTTTATATTATTTATATTATTTAATATTATTATTATTTCTTTTCTAAAACACATTTTTTATAAAAAAAGCAAAATTTAGTGTAATTAAAACAATTCAAACAATATTATTATTTTTTTAAATCTCTAAATTGCATTATTATATTAATGATTCATTTTAAATAAATTTTTAATTTTAAATAAAATGATAAATATATTTTTAATGTAATAAAAATTAAGTAACTCTATCATTCTATTTCAAGTGTTCATTCTGAAATTATTTTTGTATCTAAATTTATTAAAACAAATGAATACATTTTTAATTCTGTGAAGTTTATTTTCTAGTTTTGTAAATATATGCTATATCATTCTTAAATTTAATGCACATTTTCACTTGTAAATAGTCGATAAAAGTATATAAAGGTAGTATATATATAAAGAAGTAGATAATCAAAAGAATTTGAAGAATTTTCAAAGAAAAATATTTAATTAATAAATGCTTGAAACTAGTTCACTGATAAAATAAATTAGGCGTGATGTTAATATTAAAAATATGTTATTAAATTAAAAAATACTATATATGAACATAATGCACTTAAATTTTTCAGTAAAAAATTTTAATCAAAACAGTTCATTAGAATTATCAGTAATAATGTGGTATATATCAATACATTTATTGGATTGTATTTAACATGAATTTTTTATGTTAAATTAACCTTAAGTATTAGAAATAGCATTAATTGCGTTGATGTAAGATAATAAAATTATTATTTCTGACATTAAATAAAAATAATAATAAAAAAAATAACAAATTTAATTTTCACCTTTGAAAAATAAGTGAAAATATTATTTTTCTATTGTTACATATCCTATATGATTATTATATGGATACTTACACTAATAATATGTAGTAACATAAAGTCTATTATTCTATTGAATTAAAAAAAAAAAGAAAATAAATTCAAATACAAAATTAAACGATCCACGAGACTCTTCAGGTTGAAAAGAATATTTTTCCATTTTAATTAATGATTGTTTCAAGTACCTACAATTTTATTTTGAAAAACATTTTTACTGTAAAAGCTTGTGCAAAACAATTTTCTTCTAAAACTTATTGTGAATTAGATGTAGATACAAAAGAAACTAGTACATATCATAAAAACGTGTGTTTATGAGGATTGAATCACTAAGCAACGATATTTCATAGAATTCGTATTTTATATAACTGATAGATATATGACTAGAAATATATAAAGATGAGTTCTTTATGAATTTTGATAAAATTGGTCATTAATAGTTTTGCTAAAGAGTAACTGACTTCCGATAAAAAAAACTATTTAAAAACTATTTCAAATTATATTTTATTTATACATTTATCTCGCAAAAGTGATGTGTTGTATGTAAGTCCATCGTTTATAAATAGTTGATTTTTATTATACAAATTTTTATAAAAATAAAGTAATTATTATGAAATTAATTAAAAAATTATTAAAAAAATTTTTAACAATAGAACTATTAAACTATTAACACATATATTCATTATTTTTACATATAATCAAGCACTCTATTTTAATAGCATCTATTAACTATATATATTTTTTTAAGTTTATGCTTATATATACATATAAATACAGCTAGTATCTTCAAAAAAGTATTATATATATAGTTAAATGCTTCAATGATCCACATTAAGTTCGTAGAATTGTGCTAGAGTTGTGTAGATACAGTTTTTAAATTAAAAAAATGTACAATATTTTATTTTATTCTAAAGCAATTGTAGAGTAGTTAGATTATTATTATATAATGTTTTTTTATTATATTGTATATTTCATTAATATTATTTTCAAATATGTTTAGTATTTCTATATATCTACATAAATATTGTAAAAATATGTATGAATTCGCAAAACGTAAAATATTAAAAAATCTTTTTGCTTTATTGAAATTGATTATTATTTTACGTAAAATATATCATCAAGTATGTAATATAATATTATGATAGATATATATTATACTAATATTATACAAATAGAATAATTTACGTCAAAAATCAAATATATATGTAGATAAGTACAATTTTCATACTATAATAAAAAAAATATATTACATACAAATTTTATACATTTCATAATTTATGAGTGAAACGTAACCGTAAATTAATCTTAAAAAGTATATAAAATAAGTTTATTTATAATTAATTAATTTTCCGAAATATATATTCATTGATTAGAAATCTGAATACTATTTATTTTGGTATAATATATTGTTGTTTTTATTTATTTAAAAATTAATATTTGCGAAACTTAATTTTTAAATTGATATTAAATCTTAAGGTAACTATATAAATAGTATAGAAATAAAAATATTCATAGATGAAGTTTGTATACCAATACAATCTTAAAATAGATAACTTACTTACCTTTGATATGGTCCGATGTAGCAATTCATAATGAATTATTTAACCATCCAAATACTCGTACATCATGCTCGAAATCTAGTGTACACATATGTTCACATACATGTAATAACTTTTTGTAAGTCCCTCATGAATGAATTCTGGCGACGTTTTTATGGAACAAAAATTGATCTAATAAAAGTAGTAAAACTCGCGTAATTGATTCACTTTATCTACGGTAGTTTTTTTTTAATTTTTTAGGCCACATAATAATGAAAATAAACGTATCACTATGTTTAAAAAAAAAATTATTTAAAAATTAATTTTTTATTCACTGTATGTAAATGAACTAATAAAAAGAATTGGATACTTTAATAATATTAAATAAATTTTAATTCACCGAGACAACATACTATCGCTTATTATTATATTATACAATTCATTTATTAATAATTCATTTTTATAAATAGTTCCTGACTTCTTAAATTATAGTAAATAATTAGTGTATTTTTGCATTTAAAATTATAAAACATGAATTTACTAATTTGCATAGTAACATTAACTTTTAAACACGAATAATTATAACTAATTAAATTACTGAAAATAAAAAATTGTAATCCAATATACAGATGAAAGTTAAAACATTAATATGTTATCTTTTTATTTTATAAAGTAAACTACCATGACACTATGTTCATGTATTTTAATATTTCTCTATTATTTCCTATTTCTTTTGTATATAATATATTTATTGCAACCTCCTTTGAATTTGTTTCTTTTTCATCAATTTAATGATTTTGTTAACTATTCCATATTGTAATACCTCTCATAAATATAATTAATAAAAGTATTTAAATGTTCCTACTATATATAATAGAAAATTTTTTTGATTAATTAAAATAAAAATTCTTTTAAATAACGTGAAACAAATAATAGGCGGTATATTTCAATGCTTACAATAATTTATAGGACCTTAAAATACGTATCATAATACTAAATATTTATTAATATAGACTTTCACAATTATCTATATTCATTTAATTTATAAATTTTTGTACTGTAATTGGAAATAGTTTAAGTATATCATTAGTTAACCACTCATACCTATATCATTTGTAAACTACAGTAAATAGGGTCACTATATATTTAACAAATAAGTAAAAATTTTATAAACTATATATAATCAGAATAACAAACATTAATATAAATATTATATAAATATTAAATATTGTAAAAAGACTTATAGAAGATGTTCCAATATGGCTGGTATAAATCAGAATAAAGCAAATATGAATGAGTAATCCATTCTATCTGCGAATCAATGTTTGACATAATATTTGTGGCAATCTAGAGTTAATAACAATATATGAATGGAACAACAGGACGTTAAAAATTTTAAATCTTATTAACAGTGGATAAAAAATAAGTAACGAAGAAATACTATTGAAGAGTATATATATCGTGTTTCTTATTGATTATAGAATAGAAGATTATTTTTACTGTCCTGTAAAGCAAATTTGTTGAAATTTGAATTTTTCAGAAAATGTTGGAATATTATGTCATCTTAAACATCCTAATAACTATACGATAATTTTGATAAATGCTATGAATAAAAAGTAGTTATTGGGAACTCCTTCTGATATTAGACTAGTACTATACTAGATAGATGATTTGTTATATCCCTTGATGACTTGTACTTAAACATTAGCAAGAAGTGGATAGACAAATAAATACTCTTTAAAAAATAATGTAGTTATCTCAAACTATTAAAAATTTTCAAGTAATGAAGTCATTTTGAGAAAAAAGAATGATAGCTAACTATTATATATTGATTATAAACAGCTAAATACGGTAATATTAAACAAGAAGAAGCTAATGTCTATTTAGAAAATTTGCTCAATGAATTATAAGAACACTGAATTTATCTACATTAGAATCACACGAAGAAAAACAGGAAATGTGTTACCTGCGTTACGCTAATACAGTAGTATGAATTTACTGCCATCTCTTTTGGATTATCAAGGTCATCAGCGATATTCACTATATTAATATACTGTTCACCTTTCCGGTTATAATCTAAAAAAAATAATTATTATTTTTATGGTAAATGGATTAATAAAAAATGAATGAAAAAAGGAACTTAATTACATTACAATAAAGAATATTATGCTGAAAAGGATAAAATGTTTGAAACACGTCATGGAAAAAAAGGAAGATCATAGTTTCTTAACAAAGGTAAAAAACACCTTCACATTATCGAAACTCTTATAAATTAAATTACGTCCAATGATTCTTCAAATTAAGTAGCTATCTCATAAAATTCATTTTGGAATATATTCGAACTATCAATCCTTCCAACGATTTACTTAAAAAGAACTAATTACTCAACATCTATAGAAAGTTCAGTTAAATCAGGCATTAGTAAAAGTTTTATTATTGCAACTATGCAACAAAAATGGAAGATAAAAATTCATATGGATGCTTTTATTAATAGATATCATTATTACTGTTTAAGGTTTATTATATAAGTTAGAAGACACTATCAACAAAAATTAAGTACTCTAATTACGTATTAGAAGTTTCAGGCACTGCACTTTTTGAAAAGTTTTAGCAAATATTTCAATATCATAATAGAGTGTCTAGTTCTCCAATCAATTAAGAATATTAATTGGCTTTAGTCAGATGTCATTATCATTATCACATCACTATCTTTATCATATCATATTATTATCATATCATACGATATCAATCAATAATACATTACTTTATTATAAATAATAAATGATATGTTACTAAGTCACAGAGTTATGTATAAGCTAGGAAGTATTTAAAATGTTTATCATAAAACTTTATTATTAGAAGTATAGTTAATATAAAAAATATTATTTTTATTTTGATTATAAACACGAAATTTCTCGTAATATTGTCTACAAAATTTAAAATTTTAAATTTTCAACATAATTATAATTTTTTTATTTTCATGTATAAATAGATATACATCTTCAGTATTGATGGAATATACAAAATATAGGTGTCACTTACCGATAGTAAAGTGAAATTTTTTAAATAAATATTAGTGAGATCGTTGGTTTTATAACGTGAGAACAAGTTAGGCAGAGTACAAAAAGAAGAAAATATAATAACCAATTTTATTAAGAAACGGGAAATCGCAAAATACTATTATTTAAAATTTATACAGTTAAAAAAAAAATAATTAATATTATAGAAAAAAAATTAAAAAATGCATATTTTAAAAAATCTATATTCAATCAAATAATAGGATTTAAAAAAGACCAATACTAAGCAAAAGAAAATAATAGAGAGATAGACAATAATATCTACTTTAATCAAGTACTTGAAAGTCAAAACGTATTTTATTATCTCTAAATAAATAATACAAGAAGAAATTTTTTCAATAGAATTTACACGTTATAATTAATTAATGCAACTTTAAATGATTCGAAGCAATTATAATATAATTTAATAAAAATGAAATAATTTAACTAATCTTTGTTTTAATAGTATAAATTTAGATATGTTACTGAATTGTAAGTTTAACTATATATTATATTGTGTACTAATTGCATTGATTAGATTATTACCGAAAATTATATAGTGGAATTGCGATTTTCTCTTAATTACGAATATTTTTCTACGTACTTACCTTTTTTTTCTATTTGAATCAATCGATAGTATATTCAGGTTCATATTAAGAAAAATCTTATTAAAAAATAATTGAAAAGCTTAAATTTATATTTAAAATTTTTTATTCAAATACTGTCTCTTATTAGATTTATACAGATATACTTTAGCATCGCGTTAACAAATAATATTTCTATATCTTTTCTAATGTATGCGAATAGTTATAACATGGAATTATTCATGACAGATTATGCATGTGAAACAATGCATTGTGAAATAAATATTATTTAAAAATAATTTGAACGGACTGATGCATTTTAATTATTATAAAGATAATGTAACGATATTTTATTTAACTTTGATTTGACTTTGTTAAAATAAATAAAAATTAGTACATAATTGACAATACTTTTAACATTTTTAATCCCGAATTGATGTTAGTCTTTAAATGTATCGATGCACTTATTGATATCTTGAAAAAATTCTTATTGGATTAACTTTTTTTCCTTTAACTTTAAAATAAAATATTAATTTAAATTGTAAGTTATTGTTTATGAATTAGCAGTTAAAAACAAATAAATAATAAAAGAGAGAAACTTATATTAAATAAAATATAATAATATTATTATTGTGTTCAAATGCTCAGAAATTTGTAAAATTATATTCTTTAAAAAAAATCAAATTAAAACTATTTTAACATATAATAGGTATATAACGATATCAATCAAATATTAGCACCAAAATAAATGGAATAGAGTATAATGTACGTTGTATTTGAAATTTAAAAAAATAAGTGAACATAAAAAAAAATGGTTATTTATATAAATATAATAATGTGATATCTATATGCTTTGTACGAATACGCACGCGCACGCGTATATGTGTGTTTGCACGCAAGTATGTTTTAGCAAATATTAAAATATGTATATTTTTTGTTAAAATTAATTGCTTAACTAATATTTATTAAGTATATTTAAAATATTAATATAATATAATAACATTGTACAATATAATTCATTCACTACTAGTTTTTATTCCTTTAATATTTTTAAAATTAAAAATAATTTTTTTTTATAAAATAATTCTATTTTGAAGTCAACTTATATTATGATTTAATATCACAAAGAATAAGTAATTACTTATAATAATTAGTAACATATGGTAAAAATAAAGGATGAATTATAGATATAGAAATGAAAATAAACTTTATGATGATAATAAAACAAACGAAAATATAGAAACTGTAATTTCATTGATTTAATACTAGTTACGAATACAATACCAGATTTTACTATCTACAGAGCTATTTTAAATTGATTGTAATCAATTAAATCTACAAACACTTTAATTAATTTTTTGTACAAAAAATTGAAATACAATTATGAATGTAATAATGTTATATGAATCTATTTATTTATAAATAGTTCTTCGTCTATTAAAATTCAATATACAATAAAGAATTAATTTCATATTAAATAATCTTTGTTCATTATTATACTTGTCAGAAATTTACATATTTGAACATATAAATTTATGTTCTATAACTAAATTCATTTATTCCATTCTCTCTAGTTTTTAAAAAATTATTTTATCAAATAAATTCATTTTTATTATTAGATGACATTATTTCGTCTTTCATATTTGTGCATTGTTTATTTTCTTATACAGTAATTTATTAAAACAAAAAATTCTTTTATATACTCTTAATGGACATTTTTTACTATGATTCTACATTTTAATTTTGTTTTATAATCATTTTGCATTTTTTTTTATTATTTAAAAAATTTAATGACTATTTAAGAAAATGTAACTAATAAGAATCCAATTACTCTTTTGTTTTCATTATAATTAAATATATACTAGATTCAATTTCATTTTCTTGAACTGAAAATATTATCTACAGTATATTTATTTTATTCTTTATACGCTTAATCCATTTTTTTTAAATATCAGGTCATATTGTTTTGTTTTATTTGATACTCATTAATTATTTTAATTCTGTTCAAACATTTCTGAATTTTTAATTTTTTATCTTATAGTGAAACAGATGTTTCATTGTTTTCACTTATTTCGTAAAATTCATGTTACTGATTTATTTTGTTATCGTTTCTTATCGAGACTAAATAAAAGTATCTATTACAAGCTGTTCATACACATAAATAAACTGATATGCATAGTGTCTGTAACATATTTGCGTGTGCGTATACAATTGTGTATCATCAACTTTACAAAATTTTATCAAAGATAGAGCAACGAGATAATTAGGTATTATTTTTATATTTAATCTATTTTATTGCAAAAACTCAATTATTATGGAGAGATAACAAATTCGCTTATAATTTTAGTTAAAAGTTATGAAAAGTTATTTGTTTATTGTTAAATGTTATTGTATAATTATATAACTTTCAAATAGTTACTTTTTATTTTCTTCCCGTTTTCAACATTAATTTTTTTTATTTCGATAAATTTAATCATAAGTATTCCTCACTCTTTTTAGCAATCGCTCTTTAATTTACTTAATGTATAGAATATTATAAACGTATCAAATTAAGAAAGCATCATTATATTATATATAGTAATGTAAAAGAAAAATAAATAAATAAAATTTAAATTGTATCGATTGAAATTGATTTAATATCTAAATAATATATTTCATATTATAATTATTTATAATTCATGCAAAACATCAACTATTTTTAAATTTAGTTCAAATTAAAATTGGAATAGACTTCTATAGTATTGTTGTATTGTATTGTTAGATGATAAGTAAAATTATGACAATGCTCCGGACTAACCAACCATACAATTAAAAAATAAGATAAACTTTATTATTATTAATAAATTTGTAAATAATGATTTAAAAACATAACTAAAAGTATACGAAAACAGTTTGCAAAAATTAACCAAATCAATTATTGAATGTAGAAAGTTAAAATTTGGCTTTTTTGACAAACAAGCAAATATTTGATCAAGTAGCGTAACACGTTTCCCCTTCGATTAGATGCAATAAAAAAATTTAAGTATCGGTGAATTCTAACGTATATCGAGACATATTGATATTACGTGGATAAAAATTAAATCCGTGAGTCCAATGTATCTCGAGTTCATATATAAAAATGTTTAATTATCGACTTATATATTTAATTAGTTATTTTCATTCGATTATTATTAATAATTTCTTTTTGTCTAATAGTACCGCCGTTCAGATAATAAGAGGTACAAATATTTATATTTTTATCATGATCATATTAGAAGCTTTTTAAATTTTTATTAAAATTTTCGATTGTTTTTCATACATTTTATGTCACAATAATTATATTTTATATAATATACTGAATATTATTTTGAAAATATATATTAAAAATATTGTTAAATATTGCACCCAATTTTTGGGTTATATTCCACTGTATTTTATACAAACAATTCACGTTTTT